TGACAACAAAATCTATGACAGAGGTGACAACAAAATCTATGACAGAGCTGACAACAAAATCTATGACAGAGCTGACAACAAAATCTATGACAGAGCTGACAACAAAATCTATGACAGAGCTGACAACAAATCTATGACAGAGCTGACAACAAAATCTATGACAGAGCTGACACCAAAATCTATGACAGAGCTGACAACAAAATCTATGACAGAGCTGACAACAAAATCTATGACAGAGGTGACAACAAAATCTATGACAGAGCTGACAACAAAATCTATGACAGAGCTAAAAACTCTGATGACACAAAATATAATGAAATAAAAAAATCCTCTATAAAATGTGATATCGAGCAATGGTGGGTGGGTTGGGGGGGGGCTGAAAATCTGACCAAACATCCATTCAAGTAGGGCGCTTTATAAGAATCCCATTTAGTCCTCCACACCCACCTAATTTTTTAAGGCCCTCAACCGCACATTTTTTCACATTTCTGAACTAGATTAATATTCTAATGACCCAACCGATTGTACATCGCAGATTTTGTACACCAACTACTTAGAAAAACAAAATAAAATATTACAAAACAAACGCACTTTTTAAAAGAAATATCATTTAGCGCAGTTATCGGAAATTTTATTTTATGAAGTCATATTTCCTTCATCTCCCCCTTGACAAACAGGAAAAACTGATTGATTTATTTATTTTTGGAAAAGGGGGGGGGGAGGGCTGGAGTTAGGGTGGGGCTGACAATTCGAAAGAATGTGTTGTCATCGGGAACGAGTCTTTGTACCAAGTTTCAGCTCGTCTAGTTCTCGGGAAGTGGGTCAGTTAGCCGTGCGAAGGTTTTTGCCAAACACCCAGCAGGAAGGAAACAGACGAACGAAAGCGACGCTTATACAAAGGATTTTTAATAAAAAAAAACTGTATTATCTTATTATCTACAACCGCCATTTATTTTTGCACAGATTTGGAAATGTTGCATCTGAGACCAAAAAAACAATTTGTGTAAATAAAACACTATGGGTTCACCTCTAATAATGATCACACAGGATACCAATGTAAACAGTTCAGCAAATGCCTTCTTCAGTGGAAAAAAATAATAATAATAAAAAATTAAAAAATATTTAAAAAAGCATTCGTTACAGTATAAATTAAATGTACATAATGTATGTAAATTATAAACTTTATTAAAGCTGAACATGTATAGTTTTATATACACAATTATTTTTTGATAAAGCTTTATCCTAGTCCAACACTCTTGTAATTGGTTAACTGGATATGAGGCGCCATCGAAAGGTCACTGAATTGTTTGACCAGTGCAGCATACAACCTGGACGCTTGCAGAAGTAGTAACACTCTGAGATTCACTGTCACCTGTATTCAGGAAAACACTGCGATAATCACATTATCGCGACGAAGAACGGAAGCACATTTTGGTGAATTAGCGAAGAGCGCCTGCAGCAGTGTTTTTAACCTTTGCCAATACAAGATAGCGCAAAATGATGGTGTACACAATGTAACTCCCACGAGAGCTGGGGGGGTCACTGGACTTGGGCCTGTCAGGGGAAGACAACTCGCGAGGCACGCATTATAATGTATAAAATGTAACTCGCACGAGAGTTTGGGTCAGTGGACTTGGAGCTGTCAGGGGAAGACAACTTGTGGCTGAACATCTCCCGTAACAATGTTACGTGTGCTCCTTTACACGCTAGCGGCAACAACGGTTACCGTTCTTGGTAAATAGCTACTTAAACCATGCTTACATAATATGTCATACTTATCATGCTGTCAACCGTAATACACATATCATGTTATTCACTTGGGTAGTACAGATTGTGTACAGCGTACATCAGCGTTTCCCAAACATTTTAAGATTAGCGGGCCAGTGGAGACGTTTTGCTCTTGCACCAGGGACCGGTGGAGACGTTTTGCTCTTGCACCAGGGACCGGTGGAGACGTTTTGATCTTGCACCAGGGACCGGTGGAGACGTTTTGATCTTGCTCCAGGGACCGGTGGAGACGTTTTGATCTTGCACCAGGGACCGGTGGAGACGTTTTGATCTTGCACCAGGGACCGGTGCCAGATTTATTAATGCCATTTTCTTTTTACTCGACCATAAGTATTCATTTTTTGCGGACCGGCAACGTTAGGCCCAAGGACCACAATTTGAGAAGCACTGGTGTACAATATAACAATCATATTAGTGAGATATATTATATAGCAATCCAAAAACTGGTGTTTGAAAATGGTGTTTTTGTTTTGGTTTTTTTTCTTCCTTCCTAGTGGTAATTTGTCGTTAATAAAAACAAAATCTTAAACTGTATTACCGTGGACAATGAAAGACGCATGAGGTCAGCGAGAATCGCTCTACTTAAACAATACATTGGTGGTTTTGCTAACAAGCACGCCCTCGTGTCTTATCAGTCGGGGTCATACGCTGAGATAAGATAAGCTGGCAGTACATTTATTACAATACCGGCTGTTCTTAGAGACGCCTTAGATTCATTATCTGCCAATAATAAGAGGCGATCCTAATGAAAACAGGTACAGCAACTCCTCAATCAAGCATACAAGTACGTATAGATATATATGTATGCACACTTTTTTTATTTCACGCCTAGCCTATGAACAATATTAATATTCTGATGTCCCGCCCACTTTTAAAACGAATTGTTCATTGCACAATATTTAGAGTGAGACGATTTCATTTTCCGAAAAGAAAATATAACGCATCAAACACGTTGGGTTATTATTTATTATTATTTTTTTTTAAATTTACCTTGGGTTAACGGGAATTATATTTTGCGCGCTGTCCGGAAATGGAAGTAGCCACACCGCAAGCGAAATATAGATTTAAGAGATATGACTACTTGAAACGTATTTCCTAGCAGTTTATTTAACCAAGCGAATGGTTCGGGGATTTTATTGCATTTCCTTTGACGTATTATAATGGCAAAACAAAATATTATTAAATTAATTTTTCTCATTTGTTTTTAATAACCCCCATCCCTTTTTCATTGGTCAACACCACCTCCCCCCCCCCCCCCCAAAAAAAAANAACGGGAATTATATTTTGCGCGCTGTCCGGAAATGGAAGTAGCCACACCGCAAGCGAAATATAGATTTAAGAGATATGACTACTTGAAACGTATTTCCTAGCAGTTTATTTAACCAAGCGAATGGTTCGGGGATTTTATTGCATTTCCTTTGACGTATTATAATGGCAAAACAAAATATTATTAAATTAATTTTTCTCATTTGTTTTTAATAACCCCCATCCCTTTTTCATTGGTCAACACCACCTCCCCCCCCCCGAAAAAAAAAATCTTCCTGATTTGCGAGAATCCCACGTATAATTCCTCTATCACCTTAACATCACTGAATCACGATCAGCCCAAGAGAAGCGATTCTCAACCTGTGGGTCGCAACCCCCCTTCGAGGGTTGCACGACCCTTTTAACAAGGGTCGCGTAAGACCAGCTGAAAACACATATGCTCTACGGTTATAACGTATCAAAGGAAATAATTTTGTGGCCCGGGTGTCGCCACAACATGAGGAACTGTATTAAAGGGGTCGCGGCATTAGAAATGTTGAGAACCACTGGCCTAGAGTGCTCTCCCATGAAAATACCTAATTCTTAGAGCTGTCAGACTCGTTTTACGATACTAAAAATCAATATTTCTCTGCATGTCCAGGTCAGCACCAGTGTCCAGTGTGTACCAACGAGCTGGACTACAAATCGTGCACCGGTGTCCGTGTCTGTGACACCGCACAAGAGGTACCTGACTTTTGACCTTTATTTACACAGGGTCAACACGACTTGAAATTCGAACAAACTACCGGAAACTGAACTATTCAAAAAAATAAATAAAGTTAAAAAGATATGTATATTGTGCAAAATATATAATATTTTTCTCCGTCAACATTTCGTAACATTATCTACACAAGTCTTTTTACTAAATGTGATGTGTGTATTGTTAAACCAGTACGACTCTCAGCATAATAATAAATACAACTTTTATTAACGTTCCGATGTTGTTTTTTAAGAGGAATTAGAGATTTCTTGTTTTCTAATAGAAATGATGAGATTTCTTGTTTTGTAATAGGAATTGGAGATTTTTCGCTTCCCAATACGAGTTAGATATTTCTTGCTTTTTAATAGGAATTAGAGATTTCTTTTTTTTTTTTATTCTTCTAACAGGTAACTTTAAAAAAAAAAAAAAATTTACTTTATAATTTTTTAGTTTTTTATAAATGATTAATTTGAGTTTAATTTTTTTTTTTTTATATATTTCTTGCTTTTTAATAGGAATTAAAGATTTCTTTTTTTTTTTTTATTTTTCTAACAGGTAACTTTAAAAAAAAAAAAAATTTACTCTATAATTTTTTAGGTTTTGATAAATGAGTAATTTGAGATTAATTATTTTTTTTTTAAAAATGAATTTGTGAGTTTAGATAAACTTTTAAAAGTAAAGATTACTTTAGATGTATGTCTAGGTAGAGAGGGTGTTTTGTTTGTTTAGATGTTTTCGGTAATTTAAGGTTTACCTAAACATCTTCGAAATTTAATTTTAGGTCGATAAGTAAATAGTTTAATGACCAGGGGCGTCATTTCAGATTATTTTCAGGGTGGTGAAACAAAGAGGGGGGGGGGCAAACCAAAACTTGGTCGGCTTGTTAAGTTGTTTCTTGGTGGAGGCGTCACAGTACATAGCCATTTAAATAAAACCTGCAAATTAATTAATTTATTTATTTAGGCATTTTTATATAGCGCTTACCTTAAAGCTCTAAGCGCTTTACAAATTAATTCAAGGGAGGTGGGGGGGGGGCAATGCACAATCCTGCCCTACCCAAATGACGTTCCTATTAAGAAGTAGATGAGTTGGAAAAGTTGAGAAATACTGATGGAATGCGTGATAACTTTTTTTTCATTAGATATATTTCAAATATTTAACTTTAGGTTCTGGTGATTCTGTAATGCCAGACTATTAAGTTGTTTTCATCTATGTGTACATTTGGACCTTATTTTAAGTTTTGATGCATGTGTTCATTTAGACCTTAATTTTAAGTTTTGATGTACGTGTACATTCAGACCTTATTTTAAGTTTTGATGTACGTGTATTGTGTACATTTAGACCTTATTTTAAGATAAGATTTTTTTTCCTCCCAATTTGACTCTAGTTTGACTTTGAGCTTAGCTTAAAGTTAATTTGCTCCACCGGTGTTCTTTATCTGGGCCACTTTGTACGCCCTCGGGTCCAATGTCAGCCTCAAATCTGATTGGTCTGCACTAATACATCCGGGCACTGTTTTCAATACCATTAAGCCAGCTCCCTTATTAACTGGACAGAGACACTCTTTAGGATGGGGAAGAGGGGGAGGGGGCATGGGGAGGCATGCTAGGACAGGTCTTCCCAGTGCAGACAGTTAAGACAGCATTTATTCGACCTCTAAAGAATATACGGTATCGATACGTTTGTGATTGGTCAGTTCTCTTGTCAGTCCCCCCTACCCCACACACACAACACAGAAAAAAGCTCCATATATTTCCTCATACATACAATAATTTCACTGGCGATATAGAATGATTACTATAATTATTTTTTTTAAATTATTTATGGCGTGTAAATTCCCCTGTAACAATCAAGGATTCAATTCCAAAGTGTTCACAAATGGAATTGAATTTCTCTGTCGACTGTGATAGGAAAATTACTCATGGGACTCTCGTCTTTCGTTTCAGCTCTGCTTACTCAGGATCGATACCGCTTTGAACAACAGAGTCGAATACCACTGCTCCAATCCAACCGTAAGTATAAAATCAGGGTATAGGTTTCGACTTATATCGACTAATAAACCAGCAAAACATCTCAACACATGTATGTTATAGTAAACTGATCGTATCTTAGATACCAAGAAACAAGGAAACCATATCTGACTGGACTTAACCTTAATCTGTATCGCCTCACACCCTCGGCTGCTCTTACACACACACACACACAATCACCTCCACTCACACACACCCATATCTACAGTGACACACACCTCCACCGGAAACCTTGTTTCAACTCTAACGTTAGTTATGACTCACACACTGTCTGCAATACTGCTCTCTGCCCCCGTCTAAGGTTTGCGAGAGATACGCCGCCTCACCCTGTGACCCGACCCACGGTCGCACGTGTTACTACTGCTGCACGGACGTGGACTCCTGCAAGGGTCAGCTGGAATCCATGTTCTTCGGTGAGTAGCTGGACACATTAGCCCCCCCCCCCACCCCCCCCCACCCCAGTCTTCGTGGATCAAGTTGTGCTTGGCGGCAGGCTACGCCTCTAACATTGAAGCTGTTGCTCTCTACATCCTCACAAAATCATGACACAGTAGTGCATCGGTTCTCACCTTGTGGGTCGCGACACCTTTAAGGGTCGAATTACCCTATCACATGGGTAGCCTAAGACCATCGAAAAACACATATACTCTACAGTTTTTGAGTTGCAATGATAATAATTTTGTGGTGGTTGGGGGGGGGGGGTCCGCAAAAACAAGAGGAACTTCATTACGGGGTCACGGAATTAGGAAGGTTGAGAACCACTGCAGTGCTGACCAGTCGAACATCACAGTAAAAAGCAATGCCACGGTTTCCTGCCAAGTTTCCTTAGGGACTTTAAGGGTTGAATTACCCCATTACATGGGGAGCCTAAGACCATCGAAAAACACATATTCTCTACAGTTTTTGAGTTGCAATGATAATAATTTTGTGGTGGTTGGGGGGGGGGGTCCGCAAAAACAAGAGGAACTTCATTACGGGGTCGCGGCATTAGGAAGGTTGAGAACCACTGCAGTGCTGACCAGTCGAACATCACAGTAAAAAGCAATGCCACGGTTTACTACCAAGTTTCCTTAGGGAAGCGAATGACTAGTTCATAGGGCACACATGGTTCAAAAAGGGGGATTTGTTTCTTTATGTAAAAAAATTAATATATTTAAAAAGGGGGTAGGTGGGGGAGGGGGGGACTTTGACAAAATCAACGGAGAATTGAATAGATTTAATAACGTCCATTAGTGGTTGATATGGGTTCGTACCCTAACGGAAAACTGATTCATACGTTTGTATTTGGGACCACAAAATACGATTTTGAGCCGTACAAATGCCATCATTATTTGAGCCAGTCGTCAAGGTCGGGATTGTTCCGTTGATACTGCCAATGTTACTTTAGCCAATCTTCAAGGTCGGGATTGTTCCGTTGATACTGCCAATGTTACTTTAGCCAGTCTTCAAGGTCGGGATTGTTTCGTTGATACTGCCAATGTTACTTTAGCCAGTCTTCAAGGTCGGGATTGTTCCGTTGATACTGCCAATGTTACTTTAGCCAGTCTTCAAGGTCGGGATTGTTCCGTTGATACTGCCAATGTTACTTTAGCCAGTCTTCAAGGTCGGGATTGTTCCGTTGATACTGCCAATGTTACTTTAGCCAGTCTTCAAGGTCGGGATTGTTCCGTCAATAATGCCACTGTTATTTTAGCCAGTCTTCAAGGTCGGGATTGTTCCGTCAATAATGCCACTGTTATTTTAGCCAATCTTCAAGGTCGGGATTGTTCCGTCAATAATGCCACTGTTATTGTAGCCAGTCTTCAAGGTCGGGATTGTTCCGTCAATAATGCCACTGTTATTTTAGCCAGTCTTCAAGGTCGGGATTGTTCCGTCAATAATGCCACTGTTATTTTAGCCAATCTTCAAGGTCGGGATTGTTCCGTCAATAATGCCACTGTTATTTTAGCGAGTCTTCAAGGTCGGGATTGTTCCGTCCATAATGCCACTGTTATTTGAGCCAGTCTTCAAGGTCGGGATATTTCCGTTCATAATGCCACTGTTATTTGAGCCAGTCTTCAAGGTCGGGATTGTTCCGTCGATAATGCCACTGTTATTTGAGCCTTCTATTTCTTTTTTTAAAGCGCTAACCCATATTTGTCTTATTGACAGGTATCCTGGCCATGGGCTGAGCATCAAAACTTGAGCTAAAGTCACGTGCCTGCCTGTACATGCATACATTGGACGAGGGTGAATAGATTCAACAGATGCAACTCAATAAACGCGTTTATACCATCGGCTATCTGGTAGAAAATAAACCACTTCTTTGTTTATTTATTGTGCACACAATTTAAAAAAAAAAAGAATAAAAAAAAAAAAGTCTATACCGAGTGTCGTACAACGTCTTGACACCAACCAGATCTTGGTCAGGAAGTAGTACGTCAATGCGTATCATTGGCTGAATGGAGTCACGTGATCCTCTCTCATTTGCTTGATTGGTGTGTCCAGGAAACTCGGAGAAACGGGCTAAAAGCTTTCAATGAGAGAGTAGTGGGTAAATGTCTGACGAGTATTTCCTTCAAGGATACCGTGTTTGTCTCTGTGTGTGTTTGTGTGTGAAGGTGGGTGGGTGGGTGTGTGGGTGGGTTTGTACGCTTGGTGCGTACTTCAAAAAATAAAATTATTTAAGAGCTTGTGCCGCATTAGGCTGTCCTTGAACTTCTGAAAACGTAAAAAAATACCAAAAAAAAAGCGTAAAGAATTCAACAAAGCGTACATTATACAAATACAAGAAAGCGTACATTATAAAATAAAGCGTACATTATACAAGAAAGCGTACAGACTTCGCATATAAATTCAGTGTAGTGGACCGAAGATGCCTTAAGTTGATTTTTTTTTTAAAGTCCCCTTCCGCACACACCCCCTTCCACCTTTTAATTTTTCCTACGCCAGTGGGCACCCCACCCCACCCCCCAGATTTGAGGGGTGTCGTAATCTCACTAGGGGTTTTACCCAAATGTACACCAAAGATGAACTCACTGATAAATGATATTGGTAGAGTAGTAATACGATATTTTGAGAGCTAGGGGAAAGTAAAGTGAGTAGCAATAATAGCGTCGCTGCTTGAACGGATTTGGAAAATCTGTAACATCTATTTTCAATCACAAGTCACGTTGATAAAAGCCTTTTCAACAAAGCATTTTCAACAGGACGGACAATGCACTCTTGACCATAAGAAATTACCACCTGCTCCTAGATTCTACCATTGCGAGCAGCTGCTAGCAGAAAGCTTATGGCAATTATTGCTCCCACCAACAATGCTTCTATTTTAAGTGCTGAACGGTTAGATGAGGACGATGTTGATTTGTCTGGTATATCAGTGCCGCAAGATGAAAATGATAAATCAGCTGCTATGTCCATTGTTACGCTAGAGCAACGCCTGGCTACGCCATGGGAAGATGATAGCAGCTAGAAACTATACTACTATTGTCAGATAATCATATGTATACTTCCACAAACAATGATATTTAGTCTTTAGCAACCTTTTGATTGACTCTGCATTATAAAATTTAAATTTAAACCTTTTTAACTTGTGGATGAACAAGCTAAAGATGCAATGAAAGGTTTGTCCTACAATTGTGTGTTATTAAAATAGATCTGAACAATGACAATGTAAAATGTATTTATATCTTGATTTATATTATAATTCATTTTTTGGGGTGTTGTCCGATAAAACTTTGACATAATTACTTTGGGGGGGGGGTTGGCAGGCATTGAAAGTTGTTGACAAGCGGAGGGGAAGGGGAGTGTTGTCCGATAAAACTTTGACATAATTACTTTGGGGGGGGGGGGTTGGCAGGCATTGAAAGTTGTTGACAAGCGGAGGGGAAGGGGGGGGGGTAAAAATTAAAATTTGCGTAAAAATTGTTTGAGCAAATGATGGACGCCCCTTATTATATGTGAGTCCGTCTCTGCCTCTCTTGCGTGTTAATTCCCAAGGAATTCCCTTTTGAACATGTCCCCTGTTTGTACAACTGAAACCTTACAAGAACACAAAATGGCCACATAAAAAACAAACTATCGGTTTCATTTTATCAAAGCTATTATTTTTAAAAGTGATTTTAGTCAGCGCCCGTAACAAGTAAATTATTGTGTTGTTTGGTTTGTTTGTTTGTTGTTGTTTTTTAATTTTAAAGGTTTCGCATTTCGTCTGCCCTGAGACGCTTTGTCACTTCAATTTGAACCTTTGACATTTTTGTAAAATGTAAATTGTTTTGTTCAACCTTTTCGTACTTCTGACAAATACTTTAAAAAATATATTTGTTTAAAATGACTCATTTGAACCTTTTGTTTCAGCCTTATTCATTAAAATCATTTTAATTTTTTTTAGAGTTCCTTACATGTGTCTACTCACAGTTTGTGACAAATCACCATATACAGTTTGTAACATTTGACCACCGACACTGCTTAACACATTCGACCACCCACAATTTGTGACATTTGACCACCCACCGTTGGATACATATGACCAAACAAAGTTTGTGACATTTGAACACGCTCAGTTTGTGACAAGTGACCACACGCCCAGTTTGTGACAAGTGACCACACGCCGGTGTACGGGTACTCCAACGTAAACTCCAGCACTCCTTTAAAACGCAGATATTTGATTGGATCAATGGCATGTAACGGTAGCTGAAGAATAAAACGAGGCCTTCTAAGGACATCATTCTTAAAAATCGGTTTGAGATGCAACACATTGTTAGGAACGTCATGCTGATACACGAGTCAGACACATTCGTCTTACTGCCAGCAGGTCATTGCGGCACAGCCCTGCTACCGTTTTAATGTCAGCAGGTCATTATGGCACAGACCTGTTGTTTGGTCTTACTGTCAGCAGGTCATTATGGCACAGAACTGTTGTTTGGTCTTAGTGTCAACAGGTCATTAAGGCACAGACCTGTTGTTTGGTCTTACTGTCAGCAGGTCATTATGGCACAGAACTGTTGTTTGGTCTTAGTGTCAACAGGTCATTAAGGCACAGACCTGTTGTTTTGTCTTACCGTCAGCAGGTCATTAAGGTACAGACCTGTTATTTTGTCTTAATATTAACAGGTCATAATCGCACAGCCCTGTTATTATTGAGCCTCCATAGGAGGAGAAGAGGAAGTCCACCGTGTGCGGCACTTTATTGTTGGCCGGCATTTTCCTTCATAGTTATTTACTTTATATGGCTGAATTATGTATGTGCTTTCTAATCTTTTTTTAATTTAAAAAAAAAAAAAATTTTGTCGCAAACTAGCTACTCTACTGTGTCACCCTTCCACTCCGTCACTTCCTTTTAGTTTCACCACTGCCAAACCCTGTGGCCTAGTTAGGGGTAGTGGTGCCCGGGGCCGGGCTATCATTTTCTGACCCCCTTCCACGAAAGCACCCTTCAGTTTCTCCGAAAAATTAAAAAAAAAAAAAAAAAAAAAAAAAAAAGGCATTTATTTAATGACGTCCTGGCGACGGTCCTCCGTGTGACCCAGTAACCTGCCCTTAGTTCAGAGACGTGCCTCTGGTTTTCTACGGGTAATTAAAAATATTCCACTAATCGATAAAACGGGACAATTCGTTACAATTAGGAGGGAGAGAGACAACAACAAAAAATCCACGCAGGCGAAAGATTTTTTAAACAACTTGACTTCCCGTGACGCCTGGCTAATTGTTGACAGCGGACAGTTCAAGTAACGTGACTTGAGCTACAAGGTTGCAATCGGGCCGTGATTAACGCCAGACGTGGCGTGGTGCGCAGTAACTTTCATTACCTGGACTTGTCAAAAGTTTCAACAAAACAATTAGAGGTTGTCATCAGTGGGGCACGATGAACACTTTAAAAAAAAAATAATATTTTAAGAAAAATTATTTGTTGAACGAAAATGATGAGCGACCAATATTCGATTACAAGATAATGTTGCTAAGTTGCTAAAAGAAAAACACACTTAAAAGATAGAATTCGTTTGCTGTTTGATTGGCAACAGCGATTACCAAAAAAAAAAATTAAAAAAAAAAAAATAATAAAAAAAAAAAAATTTTAAATATTTGCAAATATATGAAGAAAAGAAAAACACAATAAAAAGATAGAATTCGTTTGCTGTTTGAATGGCAAAAGCGATTACAAAAAAAAAAAAATAAAAAAAAAAAAATAATAAAAAAAAAAAAAATTTCAATATTTGCAAATATATGAAGGATAAAACTAATCGGCGGAAATCGGTTTATAATTAAACAAACCTCGAACACAAAGTTGTTCGTATCTATCCATTATAAAATATAAAATCCAGAATTTGGGGGAGTGTGTGTGTGTGTGTGTGTGGTGTGGGGGGGGGGAGCTAAAAAAGTGACCTAAAGGTAAAGCACTATATGAGAATCCCATGTAGTGCTCAACCACCCCCAAGACTCCCAACCACACATTGTATTCACGCCCCTGAACCATATTAATATTCTAATGACCCACCGGCTTTTAAACCGCAGATTTATTTCACCAAATGTTTTAGAAACACAACGCACAAACAATATCAAACACCAAACGCACTTGCGATATTCTTTTCTTTTCAAAAGAATTTCATTATGTGTAGTTAGTGCAAATTGACCCTGGAAGCGTGACCCTGGAAGCGTGACCCTGGAAGCGTGACCCTGGAAGCGTGACCCTGGAAGCGTGACCCTGGAAGGGTGACCCTGGAAGCGTGACCTTGGAACGTGACCCTTAAGGCATGACCCTGGAAGCGTGGCCATGGCAGCTTGATACTGTTCAGAAAATTGTGGTTCGTGTTGTCTAATGGGTCGTGGGGTGAATTACGTTCGTGGTCAGAGGCCCAAGCACCTGCATAGTTGTTTTATTTCAACAAACGGTATAAGTTGTACAAGCTGGCCAGACAGTTATTTGTGAGCCCATTGGAAGCTGGCTCTAAAACTGAGGGGAAATAATTACTTATTAAATTCATTTTACCGAGATTCAAAACGTATTTGTTCCGTGTTCTAATGAGCTCCGTGGCACTGAAGATTGCCGTGTTTTTAAGCAGGATCAGCCACCATTTCGAAGAGCCCCAACGGTGTTGTTTTAACAATGTATTTAATTATGTTTGCACTTAGTAGTGGGCACTAGAGATACGCTGAGTTACTTAGAACGAGAAAAGATTTACTGACGGGCAAGACCATGAAAATCTGTCAAGTTCATGAACATCTGACAAGACCATGAACACCTGGCAAGACTATGAACACGTGACAAGGCCATGACTACCTGGCAAGACCATGAACATCAGGGAATGCTATGAACACCGTCCTCCTTAGCTGTTGTGGCAGCCCTCTGCATGGCTCCCTTCTGGCTACATCGCCTCCGCGTCAACTC